ATATTTTCATTTATTTTCCTTTTCAAATTAAGTCCCGAAGCATAAATCTACAACTGCATATAATACCTTCACTTGGTATATTGCTCGCCGCAATTTTTTAAATTTATGTTCTGTGCATTTACGCATAATAAAATACCTCCGTCAACTCTTTCGGTAACTTATATAGGAACCATCAAATTTACGCATTTTAAAGACGGCAGTTCGATTGTGGACAGTTCCGGTGGAGTTGCGCAATTGGCACTCGTAGTATGAAATGGAGCCTCGTCAAGCCAGTCAATGTCACATTGACAATCCAATTTGCAACCTGTAATGCAAATTACAGTGTAAGTGTGAGCTTTTTAAGCTCGTAGAATGCACATAGCATGCAGCTTTACAGGTATTTCCACCCGCGTTGTTCTTCACTGCGGACGATTGTGGCGCACGTGACGATACGTGCCCGCGTATAAAGGTACAATTAATACACGAAGTGTGACAAAACAAACCACATTTAATAAATAAACAGAATGTTAATAACATAAAACGACCACACTTGCCTTCTAGGTTAAACATCACGAATTGTGATGTGAGTTCAGTCAGATTAAACACGTCCTTGTCGATAGATGTCAAGCGCTCGTTGTTCCGAAAATCGATATTGAAGATCTTTGGCATCCCATGGAAACTGCCAGGTTCGATGAAGCTTAACGAATTATTATCAATCCAAACTTCCTGATGTGAAAACGTAATAAAAAATTAACAATGATTTGATCGACAGAATGGTGCAATATAATACACAGGCAAACAATATGGAATATATAAGATTAATGACTAAGTCGATGTGGTGACGTTACTAGACTATCTTCGACACACAAACACGGCAGTAACTCGAATAATAACAAGAGCGTATAAAGAAGGTCTTTTTTATAAAGAAGGCATTCTTTCTTAAAGAAGGCCTTCTTTATACGCTCTTGATAATAAGCATCTACAAAGATTTAATAATGCTTTTCGGCTGTGTTTACGCTCTTACAATACCACGTATCACTGACTCGACTACGGGTGTCTGAACGTACGGTCACGCTACTCAGTCCTCTGAATGTGTCAGCTGCGATGGTGACGAGGTTGTTGTTAGATATGTTAATTATGAATGCTGCCGTTGCGCCCTCAAAGGCTCCAGCAGCAATGCTCGAAATCCGGTTGTATTCAAGGTCTATTATTCCAATCTCCTTGAGGCCGGCATAGGTTCCTGCTGAGACCGTGTACAGATGGTTGCTCTGGAGGCTTATTGCTGCGATTTCATCTATATCTTTGAATGTTCCCGGTGCAATATACTCGATGGCATTATTGCTCATATCAAGTCTCTGTGGAAGCGTAAATGAATAAATGAATAAATAAATAAATAAAAACAATCAATAATTAAAAATTAAATAAAAAACAAATAAATTTATACATACGCACGTGCGTATGCATCCACTCACTCACGTACGTTTGCACGCATGCACGCACGTACGCACACACGCCCGCACGCACAGACGCACGCGCGCACGAACTCAAACGCACACATACACACACACACACACACACACACACACACACACACACACACACACACACA